TGCCTGAACCCGGGAGGCAGAGGTTGCAGTGAGCCGAGATTGCGCCATTGCACTCCAGCCTGGGTAACAAAGAGCGAAACTCCGTCTCAAAAAAAAAAAAAAAAAATTATAAAATAGGCCAAGCATGGTAGTCCATGCCTGTAATTCCAGGATTTTGGGAGGCCAAGGCCGGCTGATCATGAGGTCAAGAGATTGAGACAATCCTGGGAAACACGCTGAAACCCTGTGTCTACAAAAAATACAAAAAATTAGTCAAGCATGGTGGCACGTGTCTACCCCATCTCTACCAAAAATACAAAAAAATTAGCCTGAGGTCTCTATCCCATCTCTATCAAAAATACAAAACAATTAGCTGGACATGGTGGCATACTAGGCCACCATCATGAAGTAATGAATTTATGTCAATGAGGTAATCCCAGCTACTAGGGAGGCTGAAGCAGGACAATCGCTTCACCTCAGGAGGCGGAGGTTATCTCAGTGAGCTGAGATCATGCCACTACACTCCAGCCTAGGCAACAGAGCAAGACTCCGTCTCAAAAAAAAAACAAAAAAGGAATTCAGAGCTCATATAGAAAAATATTGTTTAAAGAATTATACATATATACCATGAAATATTATGCAGCCATAAAAAGGAATAAGATCATGTCCTTTCCAGGGACATAGATGCAGCTGTAAGCCATTATCCTCACCAAACTAACAGGAACAGAAAACCAAATACCACATGTTCTCACTTATAAGTGGGAACTAGATGATGAGGACACATAGAGGGGAACAACATATACTGGGGCCCACCGGAAGGTGAAAGGTGAGAGAAGGGAGAGGACCAGGAAAAATCTGGATAGTCAATGACTGACAAATAATTATTGAAACCTAATACTTATGTCATGACTCTGACAAAATCCAATTCTATTAAAAATCTGAAACAAATACTTCTGAACTACTTGGTAGTCTAGTCCATTTGGAAAGAGCTCCAAGTCATCAGGAATTGTGTGGTCAACAAATTTGAAAACTAGGTACCATCATCACCTAATCATTAGCCTAGTGGATACCAGGCTGAATACCTAACTGATGAAATAATCTGTACAACAAAGCCCCATGGCACGTGTTTACCTATGTAACCAACCTGCACATTCTACACATGTACCCCTAAACTTAAAAGTGAAAAAAACACTTCTACCCTGCCTTCCCTTAAAATAGACATTTTACAGTGTAAAAGAAGTGCTGCCAAGAAAAAAATAAAAGTAATAAAACAGTATGATATTATCCAGCATAACTAATACACAGTGCTTACTATGCTTTTTGCTATTCTAAGCAAAAAAGCCTTACGAAATAGGTGCAATTATTATCTTGTTTTATAGCTGAAGCAACTAACTCATATAGAGGTTAAGAAATTTGTCCAAGGTCACACAGCAATAGCTGGTAGAGGTATGATTAAAACCTCTTCTAAAAAAACAAAACAAAACAAAAAACTAAACAAATAAAAAAACCCACAAATTTCATAACCTAATGGAACTATAAATTCTGGCAAGTTGTATTTTATCAAATTAAGAAATCTAAATGATATTAGAATGTGAATTGCTCCATCAGGCTGTTTTGGCACATTTCTAATAGAAGAAAACATTACACTAAAACTTTTTACTCTTTATTTAAAAATTCATACTATAGCATCAGATAATTTCTACTTCTCTACTCTATGTAAAGTCCTTCTTGCCAAGATTTCCACAGCAGCTCCAACCCTGCAAATGTAAATAAAGCACAGACTATCAGCTCACAGGTTCTCCATCTTTGTGCTTATATTTTTTTAAAATGACAAATGACATTATTTGATAGAAGCAAGAGCCATAAAATTAAAGCAAGATAAAACCCACACCTAGACATATTATTGTAAGCTCCTGAAAACCAAAGATAAAATCTTAAAAGTATCTAGAAGAAAATGGTTATTAAGAAATACAATAATTCTGACATCTGATTTTTCAATACAAGAAACAGGAGCCAGCAGAACAGTGGAATTCTATCTTGAAGATACTACATGTAATTAACTGACAACCCCGAATTCTATATCCTGTGAAATAGCCTTTTTTTCTTTTTTTAAGAGATGAGGTCTCACTACAGTGACCAGGCTGGGCAGGAGAATCCAGAGACTCAAAGCTGATTTTGACATGAAGTAACAAATGTAGAAATGAGCTTTGATTTTTGTGGCTCCACAGGGCTAAAAGGGAAAAGTCAAAGTCCAGAAGCCTTCTAAAGGTGGGATATCTGAGAGACCACCTCCAATGAAAGCTAAAACCCAAAAACTACACCGTCTAGAGTGAAAACAAACAGAAATAAACCAGGCATCACTAGACTTAACATCACCTTCAAGGAACTGAAAGCCTTCAACTTGGATTAACATACTGGACTGAGAGCAACTCCATGTACCTGTCAGAAGCAAATAAATATCACCTCCTGACAAAGAAAGCTTTATCTTAGCCTCAAAATATTTCTACAAATAAAATTTCAAAAGCAATATTTAATTCTAAAGGATAATCAGAAACACAAGATAAAAACAGACTATAAGCAAGAATTTTGAACTTAACTAAGGAGGTCCTGGGCTGGTAGTGTGCTTATATCAGACAGAAACCAGAACTGGGAAAATTTTAATGTAAATAATTGTTACGAAGTGTAGTTAATTACTCAAGGTAGTAAAATAAGACTCTAAGGGATATGTTTAAAGTAGCAAATACAGAAAGCCCCAATTTTAGTGCAGATCACCTGAGGCCTGGAGTTAGAGACCAGCCTAGCCAACTTGGTGAAATCCCATCTCTATTGAAAATACAAAAATTAGGCTGGGCACGATGGCTCAGGCTTGTAATCCCAGCACTTTGGGAGGCTGAGGCGGGTGGATTACAAGGTCAAGAGACCGAGCCCATCGTGGCCAGCATGGTGAAACCCCTTCTCTACTAAAAATACAAAAATTAGCTGGGCATGGTGGTGCATGCCAGTAATCTCAGCTACTTGGGAGGCTGAGGCAGGAGAATCACTTGAACCCATGAGGCAGAGGTTGCAGTGAGCCGAGATTGCGCCACTGCACTCTAGTCTGCATGACAGAGTGAGCTCTGTCTCAAAAAAAAAAAAAAACAAACCACAAAAATTAGCCGGGAGTGTTGGCAAGCACCTGTAATACCAGCTACTCAGGAGGCTGAGACAGTGAGACAGGAGAATTGCCTGAACCCAGGAGGCGGAGGCTGCAGTGAACTGAGATTACACTATGGAACTCCAGCTTGGGCAACAAGAGTGAGACTCTGTCTCAAAAACAAAAAAAATTTCAGAAAAATTAAAAGTAAAAATATGGAGAAAGGTTTACTATGGATACACTGACCAAAATTAAACTAATATTTGTACCTTTATTAATTTCAAATAAAGTAGGCCTTAAAACAAAATACTGGCCAGGTGTAGCTCACACCTATAATCACCTATATTTTGAGAGGCTGAGGTAGGAGGATTACTTGAGCTCAGCAGTTTGAGACCAGCCTGAGCAACATAGTGAGACCTCATCTCTACTGAAAATTAAAAAATTAGCCAGGCATAGTGGCATACGTCTGCAATCCCAGCTATTTGGGAGGCTGAGGTGTAGGATTGCTTCAGCCCAGGAGTTCAAGGCCGCAGTGAGCCATGATCATGGCACTGCACTCCAGCTTGGAGGATAGAGCAAGACCTTGTCTCAAAAAAGCAAATGAAACAAAACATTACTATAATAAAAAGGGTTACTACATAATGACAAAAGATTTAACTCAACAGCAATATATAATAATTCTAAATATAAAACACTGATAATATTGTTTCTGTTTATAAAAATAAACACTAACTGAACTACAATGAAAAGTAGAAAAATCTAAAATGTAAAGGATTCACAAAGGAAGACTTTAACACATTTCTTTTCAAGCATAAGCAAGCATATTAAAAAATAAATAAAAATTTGAAAGATTTAAACATCACGATTAACATGAACTAGTGAACATACATAGAATACTTTTCAGGAACAAGAGGTGTTTTTTTTTAGTTGACTATGTTTTCAACCAAAAAGCAAATGTCAAGAAATTCCAAGGAAATAAATTCTTATATGGTGTATACTCACATCATAGGGGAGTTGTGTCACAAATAGATAACCAGGAAAGAAAAACCTAGACAATTTCCATATTTGGAAATTAAGATATATACTTTTAAATCACTCAGGGATTAAGAAAAAATATAACAGAAATGAGAAAATATTGTTAACAATCAAAATTTTCAGCCAGGCTCAGTGGCTCACACCTGTAATCCCAGCATTTTGAGAGGCCCAGGTGGATGGATCACCTGAGGCTGGGAATTCCAGACCAGCCTGATCAACATGGAGAAACCTCATCTCTACTTAAAATACCAAAAAAATTAGCTGGGCATGGTGGCGCATGCCTGTAATCCCAGCTACTGTGGAGGCTGAAGCAGGAGAATTACTTGAACCCAGGAGGCAGAGGTTGCAGTAAGCTGAGATTGCATCATTGCATTCCAGCCTGGGCAACAAGAG